TACACCTATTCTGGGGTGTTATAGTAATCATGTTAATTTAATTAAAATGAAAGTAACTTTGTCTATTATAGTAGTTTATACATCCATTTAGATCTTATCATACGAGACAAGTTGATTGAAAGAAAGAATGATTAAAAGCAGAAATGTATACTGTACTACCGACTGTTTTAAGATGGGATTATACTAAGGGTCTTTTTTCCTTCAATCTAAGGGAGAATGTTAGGAAAAGTTGACTGTAGTAAGAGGATAACTTACTTTACCTCATTCATTTTGTTGACAATTGTATTACGTTTAAAATTCTGGCCTAATACACAAAGATCTATTTATGTTTGACTTGCTTCAAACAATTGTTTCCTTATAGGCAGAGATGGCTAGTGACTGGCAATGTAATTCAGGAAATGCGTTTCTTCTTATATAGGACTCGTCAACTGGATGTATTTGAATCCCGGAGTTGATGTTTACTTCGGGATTCAATCTGCACAGAATGCATTCATGCCAATAAGAGACTGATAATATGCAATCCCTAACATTAATGGGAAGATTCAAATAACCAATACAAATAATGAATAAAACTTCATCCCGTTGTACAACCTAGTGGTTATTTGAACTCAGTGGCTAAGTGGATGATGCGATGGCATTTGAAGTGAACTTTACTAAGTTCAAGCTCTGGAATGCAGGTAAATCCAATTGATGAGTCCCAAGATAGGACGAAATCCGCGTCGTAAATTCCATTGCTAGCCACCATCCATTTCTGTTTATAATGCTTGTGACTTAAGGCATTATTGAAGCAATCCGTACAGGATGCACAATTACCAATAAGTGACTGATCGATTTCGACACTCTGGATGATATATATCATAGCATTAAAGATCATCATAATCCTGATTAAACCCCTTATTCAACTCTTAAGAAACTTTTATATTCCCGCATTCAACCCTTTTTTATAGCTTCATTTTTCCCCTTTAGGCCATCAATGTGTGGTGTGTTAACTTGGGTAGATGTCCATTTATACCCAGCTCTAAACTGATTCTAACTAACTGGTTTATATTGTGAACTAGTGTGAACACTCAATAATTCAAATGAGATTAAACTTAGAATCTTTAAGTCTTTCGGTAAACACATTGTATCTTGACATGTAGTTAACTATGTTGGATCAGTATGTGGTGTAAGCGATTGAAATACAACAATCTGTAACACAACCTCCTTTACTAATCATACTTGTCTTCTCATTAGTAACAGACTTAAAATAGGAGTTTCAGTGATAATCTGTGATTAGTGAGGCTCACCCATGCTCTATGTTATACGTTACTCCGTTAGGACAAATAATGATGGTTGTGTAATATAACGAATCGATTGAAGCTAGATATGTAAAATATTATATGCCAACTTATTAGACTGGAGGTTAAACGCTCGTCATAAAACCAGGAGTTTTAGGTTTAATCCTCCAAGGAGCACACTGCCAAGAGATCTAGAATATATTTTTTCATTATACATTGCTGACATCAAGAATCAACTGAAGTAATCCTTTCACGGTGTACATAATCTAATAGAAACTGACTGATTACAATTCTGACTCATAACTTCAAGGAGGAAACGGCCGTCCAGTGCTTCCAAATTTTTCATGATGGTCTAGCATTTTATTGATTCATGAATTCATCTATTGAATTACTACAATCTCCACAAAATCCTCCTTTTGATATTAACTGAAAACTATCTGCTTTTGACTGTCTCAACTACAGATAAGACTATTCGTGATCTATAATTTTAATTGTATAGTAATTGTATAGTATGAAGTGTTCGAATTTCTCCACATCTGGCTTATAGCTTCTCCTGTAGACCTCTATATGTGATGAAATTCGAACACTTCACTTCTACTTGAAGTTTGTGTTGATAATATCGTTCAGAATATTAATAAGAGCTTCATGACAATATTGTCCAGTACAGAGAATAAAACTCTATCATAAGCAATAATAGTGTTTTTGTTGATATTATATAGTGATTTCAATGGCCGAGATCATCATGAGTCAATTAAAGTTAGACCACCATAGAAAACCTGGAAGCAGTGGATGGTCATTGACTGCCGGCTGGCTTAGTGATCTAATGGTTAAGCACTCAAACGTGAGAATGATAGGTCCTAGGTTCGAATCTCGTGGGGCAGGATTACAGATGTGCACTGCTAAGGAGTTCCATATTTAGATAAAATGGTCGTCCAGTTATCTCTGATGATCTAGCTTCAATCGACTCATGATCTCAACCAATGAGATAGTGTTTTTATTATCCTTATCAAAGAAATAATGAATACCATCATAGGGGTTGTGGAGATTATTAAGTTTTTTATTAAGATCATGAACCGATTGATGTTAGGCCACCTTTGGAAACCTGGAAGCACTGGACATTGGTATAAGGAGGCACTGAATAGATATGCACCATATAAATCATTCGATTTATGTGAGTGCTTGAATACTGCCTAGGTGCCCAATCCGAAAGTGAGAAGCCGTGACCAGTGGAGCTAATCTATGTCGGGTAGAGACAGATATGTACCTCAGTACAATTGAAATTGGTCGCGCAATTTCATGGGTCGGTTGATGTTAGACACCATCACCATTAGATGCTAGCTGAGTGGTTCAGTAAGTAAAGCGTTCGCGCGCGAGACCGAAGGCCCTATGTTCGAATTCCGCGAGCGGGATCGTGGACGCGCACTGCTGAGGAGTCCCACGATAAGACGAAACGGCCGTCCAGTGCTTCCAGGTTTCCAACGGTGGTCTAACATCAATCGGTTCATCATCTCAATAAAGAAAATGAATACCATTCATAAGAAACTTTATTTTGTCGATATGGTGTTTATTTAATCTTCTCTTTACAATTAACTAATTACTTGGCTCTTATGAATTGCAATGGTGTTCTTTCACTTTTCTTCTTAATTTTTCCGATAGAAAAACAATTTGTTTTGTTAAAAGTAAACTTTACATTTAAACGTGTTCAGTTTTATGTGTGTGTGTGTGTGTGTGAGGGTATGACCAGCTGTGATAATACTATTAATATTATCTGTAAGTGATAGAAACAACAAAATTGTATTACTTGAACAGTTATAAAATGTCATGTTTTCGTGACTTACATCGATACAGAGAGGGAGCAAGCGAGCTAGCGAGAGAGAGAGAGAGAGTGAAAGTGAGAGTGAGAGAGTGAGCCAACAAAGAAAAGGATATTTATCGAATAAAGTCATAACTGTAAGTGAAGAACAACTTCTTAATCATATAAAACCATTGATGTAAGCACACACACACAGATACACAAGGATAACGATAGCATCACGTACACATTGACAAATACAAAGTAATTAAGTTTTACGAAAAAAAAGACACCTTTTTGGACAAAGAGGACAGTACTTTTGTGAATTAAACAAGACAACAAAACAAGTTGAAATGGAACATGAGGGGGGGGAATTATCTAGGAATTGATGGTGGGCACAATGGCATAGATATTACTACTAACTATGTGATGAGATATAACGGATAGTATTTTTCAAGGAAACCCTAATATACTACTTACATATATATATTATGCATATATGCAGTGCACTAGTACGATACTGATGTGTAATGTACACAGACTGGTTACCAGGTGATTACGCAGACGTAGCTCTATAACAATATCTTGAAAATAATTCTATCTAATGCAACATCCAATTTCTTTAACTTCATGTGAACTTTTAACACCACTCGTTTTTATCGCTTTACAGTTATATACTACTACTTAAAGGATTTAAACGTCCATACATGAATAGACATATTTGAATAGATTTTTAAGTAGACAACTTCAGAGGTTGTCCTCAACCTGTTCAATGTTTAATAAATCTAGTGTATTCGGTAAATTTAGCTACACTCCTATTTACTCAGTGAGTGAGTGTTGCATCACTGTGGTGTTATTTTCTTCTCTTTTATTTTACATGTTGACGATATGTTGAAAAAGGGATATGAAAGTTTAATAACAAGGCCATCCAATTCTTACAATGTCAGTAGTTGAAATCATGAGTCAATTGAAGCTACACCACCATGAAAAACCTCGAAGTACTGGACGGCCGTTTCGTCCTAGTGTGAGATTCTTCAGCAGTGAGCACCCACGATCCCGCCTTCCCCAAGATTTGATCACAGATGCCTTAGAAATATTGCTCACATCTGCTGGTATCATCGGGTAAGCAATAGTGAGGTTAGATGCAGGGTATTAGGGAACGATGGTAAATCAGTTGATGAGTTTGTGAATCTTCATCGATTGAGATGATTGGACCACGTGTTACGTATGCCTGAACACCCATTACCACGACGCGCAATGCTCATTAGTGTTGGAGACGGTTAGAAGGAACTTATGGGTGGTCAAACTGAAATGTGGCATCAGTCGACAAACTCACTATGTTCTAGTCTTAGTCGTGTTGGTAGATGTAGACTACTTGATTGGGGTCCGCGTGACTATCGCAACCAATGTTTGGAGAATCTGTGTGATATGACTCAGAATCGATCACAATGATTTAGGTGTGTGCAATCTTTGTCTTCACTTAAACCGTGAGATTAAAATTACTTTTCATCTTTCTTTCTACCAACTAGTTCTTCTTCCTGTATTATATCCTTGTATGTAAGCTTTCTTTTATATATTTCCACCATTGACTTAACCACTCCTATGAATCCGGTGTTCAACTTGCTGAGCTAATGATGTGTGGCGACTTGGACCAATGCATATATGTGCCTGGTTCTACACTGTAACTGACTGATTGACTGACTGAGTCTTCTCTCTTCCATGACCGATTGTAAAACGAAGCTTATTGAAAGTAAACATACCTATAACTGAATAATATAATTGAAGAATATGACAACTATTATGATGGAGTTTTGTTCTCTAAGCTGAATAGTTTGGTCGTGGATCTTTCATCATTCTTCTAAACAACATCATAATCACAATGATGAAAACCATAGTTATTTTGTACTTGTTTTCCTTTTTCTTTGTTTTAGTTATCAACTTCTTACACAAGGTGATGATACATTTGAATTGATTCAATTATCAAATGAATTAATCAATAATCTACCTTCACTAGTTCCATCTACCTCAATTAATAATGATAATAATCAACTAATCTATTCAAATTATAATAGTTTATCTTATAATAGACAAATGGAACATCCATTTACTTATCATCAATCGAATACATTATCACCAATAAATCAATTATTACCATATCAAAATCGACCAGAACAATTATATTTAAAAGTTATGAAACCATTAGATTGGGAAACTAAACGTAGCTATCAATTTATATTAAATGCTGAAGATAATGGATCACCAGCATTTACCGGTGAAATGAGTTTGATGGTAAGTTCTTATTTATCATCAAGTTCTTGTTATATTTCATGTTATCCTTCATATTGGTTTATACGTCTGTTGTATCAGTTCTATGGAAACTAAGTTGCAAAATTTAGGAAAAGATGGATAGTGGCAAGCAGTGGAATCCAATTTGACGCGCGTTTCGTCCTATTTGGGACTCGTCAGCTGACTGTACCTATATCCCAAAGTTAATGTTCACTCCGCGACCCATCGCACAGGCAAGTGGCTATCAGTTCTCAGTAGCTAAGTGGATAACGTTATGGTGTGTTGAAGCGAATGGTATTGGGTTCGAGACACGGAGTGAATATCAATCGTGTGATGCAGATGCATGTAGCTGACGAGTTCAAGATAGGTCGAAACGCATATCCTAGATTTCGCTGCTAGCTACTATATATCTTTGCTTAAATAGTTTGTGACTTAAAGCTATATCAATTCAATCCGCACAGGGTGCATATATGCTAACAACAGATTGATCAGTTGCAATCCTAAATAACAATCTAGAGATACAAGTAAAGCAACACCAAGTGAATTTAAATGTAACCTCCTTAAAATTGTAAATAACTGACTTGTTAAGGAGTAAAGATTTTTGGGTTGATTAACTCATGAAACGTTTTAAGTGAATATTTACTAAATACACTCTCACAACAGACCTGGTTGAACACCACTGGTCACAGCTTCTTAAAAGAACTCCAGGAAATGCATCTTGAAGTCAGCCACTACTGAGTAGATGTTGATTAATATCAAACTGTACATCTTTGTTCAGATTTGAAGAAAACAAACTTAAATATGATTTGTGTATATCGTGATTCAATTTAATAATGAAACACTTCTCATTTTAGTCTTCTCATCCGTATAGTAAGTACAACACATCCCACTCTTAATACTACACTTAGCCTCCAATTGCCCTGGTACGACCGAGAGTGAGGAGAGTTAGCTCTCCTTCTCGAAATGATCTCACATGACCACTTGGATACAACTACTGCCAAGGAAGTCCTAATCACAACCACCTCGTGGAGAGGTCGTTGTTTAAAAAAAGAAGAGAAGGAAAAGTGAATTTCCGGAGTTTAACCAAGTTGGTGGATATAGAGGATCCACCTAGGGGAGTTGGAAAACCTTGATTCCAAACTAATGATGCACATTGGCTACAGAATCCTGAAGGAACAAATGGCATATGAAGCAATTATTGGTCGACGACTACCATAAGACTGCATCTTCTGACGTTGCTCCACTACCTTGTGGATTAGATCTTTATGTCGAAGGCTTCGAGTGTGGTCCCCTAATGAGAGTACCTGATTTGGTTTGAGCACCTGGGCAGTATCCCTCCCCTCTATTTAATACCTCCTTGTATCAATGTTTATGTGTTTGAATAAATAAAAAAAACGACATCTCATACGTTGTATAGTTTATACATGAATGGAATGGTAAAGCTCAATACTAGGCAATTATGAATGTATGACTTCTTCTATTAAATAATGTAATATCACTCAGATATTTACATCCTAATTTTAGATCATTGTCACTGATGAAAATGATAATCATCCTATATTTCGTAATAAAAGTTTAATGATTAGTGTACCAGAAAATTCACCCGAAGGTTTACATCTTATACAATTAATTGCTGATGATCCAGATGATGGAAAATCTGGTCAAATTATTTATAGTTTAATAAACAATGATGTCAACATTAAACCACCATCCTCATCCTCATCATCCTCATCATCATTATCATCACTATCGAATAGTAATGATCATTTCAATCAACGTCAATTACATAATAATACGCATACTACTAATAATAGTAATGAAATGAAGAAAAGCTTATTTGAAATTGATTCTAAAACTGGTTGGTTAATTATAAATGGACATTTAGATTATGAAATATCAAAACATCATCTTCTACGTGTCATAGCTCGTGATCAATCGAATCATCCAGGATTTGATGAAGCAATCATAAGTGTTTATATCACAGATATTAATGATATTGCACCACAGATTACAGTAGAATCAGTTAATCGTATTTCATCAAGTCAATCGATTATTGATAATCATCATCATAAGAATAATCAATATAAGAATAATATATTACAAGTGTATATTAATGAAACTCCTGGACATAATATAATGAATTATAAATTAGAAAATGAATATACTACTCATTATAATTTATTACCAACTATGATACAATTATTAGCTTTTGTAGTTGTAAATGATCCAGATACTGGTCCTGGTGGTACATTTCAATGTCATTTAGAATCAAATACAATAGATAACAATGATAATAATGATAAAACATTTAGATCCAAGTTACATTATCCAATACAATATACATTGAATGAACAAAATCATTATTTGTCATTCATTCCAACTCCTAGTACTAATACTATTCGTAGTAGTACTACTGGTACTATAAGTCATAGTTCAACTGTTGGAATTTTTCAATTAAATCCAATATCTAATTTCAATTATGAATTAAATACAATTTATGGATTTGATTATGAATTTAGTAAAACAGAATCAGTAAAGGTAAGTTAAATGGTGTTGTTGTTCATTTGTTTTAAATAGTGTTTTTCAAGGTTATTTATACGAGATGTGAAACGCTTACATGCGAGACCGATAGGTCTTGGGTTCCAATCTTGTGAGGCGGAATCGTGGATGCGCACTACTGAGGAGGGCCATTTTATTTATTGATTTATTTATTTGAACACATAAATATTGGTACAAGAAGGCATCAAATATATATGCGCCACACTGTAGAATAATGAAACGTATTTGGTAGTAGCATACAATTTCCAACCAGGTAATGACTCGAGAACGTTTAGACAGAGTTGAGTTTCCACCATAGACGAGCTGCTGTATATGTCGGAAAATAAGGATACATAAAGTGGGAATAAAAGAGAGTGAGTAAATGACGTAGTAAGTAATAATAATAATAACGTGAATCGTTTGACTGTTAATCGAGGCAAATATAGTATTTTCCGTAAGTATTGTCATTTCATTCCGTTTGTGTGTGGGCTGTGATAATGCCCGAGTGCCTAGACCGAAGCAGGTGGTTTCCTTAGGAGGCCACACCCGGAGCCTTCGACCTAAAGGTCTAACCCACAAGACAGTGGAGCATCGTGAGGAGATGCAGTTCCATGGTAGCCGGTAACCAAAGATTGGTTCATACGCCATTTGTTCCTTCAGGATACTGGTGCCTATGTGCACCATTGGTTTGGGATCCGGTTAGAGCGCCGGACATTCGCCTTTCGTCCTCTCATTTTCGTATACAACACCCCCGCCACGAAAAGGCAATGAGTAGGACTTCCCTGGCAGAGGCTGTATACACATGGCCATGTGAGAGCATTTCGATGGGGAGGGCTCACCACACTCTCGACCATACCAGTGAATTTGGGGGCCATACTAAGACGAAATAGCTGTCTAGTGCTTCCAAGTCTTCCATGGTGGTGGTGGTCTAGCTTTAAATAACTCATGATCTCAACTATTGAACTCATTTATGTTGTTGTAGGTGAGACTATAAATTTATGTATGATCTTTAAGTGACGCTAGTGACCTTAAGAGTGTTTACGTAATAACTAGGACCAAATGAAGGGTACAAACCTTCCTTTCTAGTTCTATCCAATTCTTGTTCATCCTTCTCATGTCTGTCTCCATTTCTCGGTGTATTATGTTCCTTGGTCTTCCTCTTCACCTCCTTTAGCTTTGAGGATCCTCAGTGAGGGCATTAGAAGTTGATAATTTACATAATTAATTGTAGGTATACTCGGATAGGTCTTCCTCTGAACTTTTTGATGAATAGGATACGGATAGATTGTAAACAGACGAGAGAAAGCCTAGGGTAGAACTTGATTTAAAACACATTTAAAGGGCACCATATGTGTACAAAATTCAATTAAACGAATGAATAGACAGTTTATAGTCAACAAATTACTATCAGCTTCCTGTTCTGAGTAATGTTTGATAACTTAGGGAGGTATTAGCTTAAACTACAAGTTACTAGTCTATACAATTGAATTAAGATGATTCTGAATTCGAATTCAGCTAAATTATAATTATACTGCAATAATTCATCTTATCCTATACACACGAACAAACGCAGATAAACACAGCCAGTGTAGCAGCAGTGTCTTCATCAGTAGGCCCCAACATACACAAGAGGAACAACAAGGTCCTCAAATTCAAAGCGGATAAAACCAATCCAATCACTCTTGGTGGCGAAACTCTGGAAGAGGTAGATTCCTTTACACACCTGGGAAGCATCATACATGAACACGGAGGTTCAGATGCAGACGTAAAGGCGAGGATTGGCAAAGGAAGGGCCGCATTCCTACAATTGAACAACATATGGAACTCAAAACAACTTTCAACCAATATCAAAGTCACAATTTTCAATACAAACGTCAAAATAGTTCTATTGTATGGAGTTGAAACTTAAAGAACTACAACAACCACAATCAAGGAGGTACAAGTATTTATAAATAGCTGTCGACGCAAGATACTCAACATCCATTGGCCGGATACCATCAGCAACAGCCTACTGTAGAAGAAGACAAACCAACTTCCAGCTGGATAGGAAATTAAAAAATGACGTTGTAAGGGGATAGGACATACATTACGGAAATAATCAAACTGCATCACGATGCAAACCCTAACTTGGAATCCTGAAGGGAAGCGGAAAAGAGAAAGGCCAAAGAACACATTACGTCGGATAATAGAAGCAGATATGAAAAGGATGAATAACAATTGGAAAGAGCTGGAAAGGATTGCCCAGGACAGAGTTGGATGGCTAATGCTGGTGAGCAGCCTATGTTCCTTCACGAGGAGTAACAGGCGTAAGTAAGTAAGTAAGTAATAATTTAAAAACATAAAGGATGATGAAACGATTTCTGACTATAATGAAGTGCACACTATTTTAACTTCTCTCCATAAAGTTGTAGTTAGTTAATTGAAATTACAACATAGAAACCACTTACTTTGATTATGAGGAAAACTTTGAATAAGCCAATACAACCAGCTTTTCATCATGGTAACACTTATATAATTGTTATTTACCCTCTGCTAATCATTGAAACTAACGAATATACTCATTATAACTAAGAGAAAGAGAGTCATTGAGAGATAAGTTAATCATTAAGTATTATGAACCAACAATATGTACAGGCTTCCATGAAATTGATCCTGAATAAAAGAACACGTTTTATCAATATTTAGTTTACCAACTAACTAACTAACTGACATGCTTAGCAACAAATACTTTTTTTTGTGCGTGAGCTAAATTGTCTAATAACGAAGTATATATCATTGAATAAATAATACACTTGTAAATAGAATGAACGTGGTTTCCTTCTCTAGTTACTAAGTTATTTTCCTACTCATTTAAATCAATCATGAGAACGTTATTTCTTCAATATGTGAATATGATATTGATTAATATTGAATAAATTGGATCGATAAAAGCACACAAATAAATTTGAGCTGTACAATCGATCAATAAATATCTCCGATCCTCTTAATCAATCTACATCTGATAATGATATAGTAACACTAGAAAACAAGGTTTAATACACGAATGTAAATAAAAAATAATTTAATAGTTGAATTTATGAGTCAGTTAAAGCTAGATCATCATGGAAAAACTGAAAGTATTAGGTGGCCATTTCGTCCTAGTATAGGACTCCTCAGAAGTATGTATTCACGATCATGTATGCAGGACTCGAACCCAGGACTTTCGGTTTCGCGTCCAAAAGCTTAACCTCTGTACATCCAATTGTGTTAATATGTAACTTCAATCAATCCACTACTGAGGAGTTCCATACTAAGACGTAACAATCATCTAGTTCTTCCAGGTTTTCTATGGTGGTCTAGCTTTATTTGACTCATGAATTCAATTATTAAACTACTAAAATCTCCACAAAACCCCTTTCTAGTAAAAAATAATTGAACAAAATATAACTTCTTTCATACATTCGATAACCGGCTTACACAAATAATGAAAAATTTATTCTTAATGCTTCACAACGATTCGGTCAACAAGAGAGTGATTTATCCAATAAATAAAAGAAACACATTTTTCAGACCATTACATTTAGCCTGTTTCTCCTCGTGGAGGAGCATAGACTTCTCACCAGCATTCTCCATCCAACCTTGTCCTGAGCAATCCTCTGCACCTCTCTCTCCCCAGTTGTTATTCATCCCGTAGAAGAAGAAAAGAACGTCAACCACATTAAACAAATTAAACCATTTAAACTCTGCCCTTCGAGTTGACGGAAGACTGTTGATACCTCAGGATGAAAGCCGAGGTTCTTTGGAAATTACAAAGCCGATGCCCCTTCTTGTAACCAGAGTAACGATTTTTACAAATACATGAAATATCTTTTCCAAATGAAGTAGTAGTATAAATTGACAAACATAAAATATTGAACCGTTGATTAACATTGAAAAAAAAATTTGGTTGATAATTAATTAAACCACATGTATAAATTTTAAGTCAAAATTCTTGTTGTTCTTGTTGTTGTTGTTGTCGTACCAAAATTTTTCTTTCATCCTTAATATTAGTTGCTATGCTATATCTCGATCTGTCACACACACACACACACTCACCTACACATACAGCACAAGCACACAGACACACACACAAATACAAGTGATCAATATTGTCGGAAATCTACAATTCACTTTCATTAAAAACAAAATCATGATATGTCCATACAAAAAAGTACATTCAATAAGATAAATTCAACTGATTCTATATGATTGTAGTAATTTGTAGAACCAAAAAAATGAAAAAAAAAACTGACACAGAGATGATATATATTCAATGTATAAACTGGAATATACTAGATATGGGATAGAAATTTATGTTGGATACAGTTGAATTGTTATGTATGTTGTTGTTGTTGCTGTAGTGGTGGTGGTGGTTGTTGTTGGTGGTGGTGGTTTATATTATTGCGTAATCGTATAAAATGTCGGTAATGTAAACGTAAATTACTACGAAAATGTAACGCTAAAAAAAACTATTACACGTCATGGTTTTGTTTATTTATGAAAGTTTGATCAATTTCTTAAATAGCCAAGTAGATAATGCGATGTTGTTTGAAGCGAAACGTGACTGTGCTCGAGTCACAGAGTGAATATCAACTCTGAGATGTGGGTATATTATCCAACTGATGAGTACCAAATAGGACGAAAAGCGCGTCTTAGATTTCACTGCTAGCCAATATTCATCTTTGCATATAATGTTCGTGAATCAGGACTATTTCTAGACAATACGCATAGTATGCATATATGCTAATATGAGACTGATCAATTGCAGTCCTAATCATCAATGGGAAGATTCAAACAAACAATTGCAAGTGAATTTAAGTAAGCAAGTATGTGTAGTTTTACAACATCGACCGATTTTAGTTAGAAAACCATAGAACATAGGAAATCACTAGACAGTTGTGTCATCATAATATGAGACTCTTTCGTATTGTCTATCAACAAATTATAATCAGCGAAGGTTTTTGTAATTTAATTTAATTGTTGAATTCATGAGTCTATTGAAGCTAGACCAGCATAGAAAACCTGGACGGTGATGCAACTTCGTGGATTGGTTGAAGTAAGACATTAACGCGCGCTCACGCACGAGACTGATATATCCTAGGTCGTGGATGCACACTGATGGAGAGTCACACAATAGGACGAAACGGTCATCCAGTGATTCCAAGTTTTCGGTGGTGGTCTAGCTTCAATTGACTCATGATCTCAACAATTATATATCAACAAATTCACCATATATCGAATACAAACACTTCAAATTTCCTCAAAGTACTTTAACCATTAAACAATATGAAATAGCATCCAATCAATTCATAATGTCAAACATTCATAAATAACCAGACACTATTTCAATAACCCAAACTAGAACACACTGAAGGATCAAGATATTGAAATCATGTGAATTTGAACATATTTCATAGATCAATAATGAATGAAATAAATTAAGTGGTTTGTTCATTTAGCCATGGTTACTACTTATCTCATATTTCTTGTTACCATCCAACCAATAGTCTGTGTTAGTAATCCATTAAATGTAACTCAGATTTACTTCATTACGTTATTTTTTTTTAAAAAAAGTTTCAAAATTGAACTGAACTCTTTCTGGTTAGCGTTTTTTAGCGAGTTAGTTTACTACAGAATGGGGTTGTTAACCCAATACCCAACCCTTCGTTTTTTATCCGGAGCTAACATCGGTAGTGGCCTAAAAGAGGCTCCAGATGGAGTTGTTTTGTTTCACTTACAATTTAATATTCTCTTTTCTCCACTCTTATCCTTTGTAGACACAGTTTCTTTCTTCGTTCATTCTGTTTTTTTCCTGGTTTTGTTTTCTCTCAATACATTCAATAGATTGTATGCAGTGATAATGGGATACCAAGTCTTACATCCAGTTATGTGATTAAAGTTATTGTACAAGATTTAAATGATAATCCACCAGTTTTTACAAAAGATTATCATAATGTAAGTTGCATTTTATTGTTAATCTGAATTAGTCACTATGTGAAGTTTTTTTTCTTGTTTATGTGTAAAACATATTTGAGGAGAAAAAGTGTCTGTATTTCTGGTTTCTAGTTATGTAATATAGATATACATATATATATGTAAACAGTTTGAAATCAGTCCTAGACAGGATATTCATCAAATGTATTATTATAATGAATAGGGAATAACAGTTAGGGCTTTCATCAAGAAGTGATATCGTGGTGTACTGCTTATATTGACATAACTGTTATATATATGTTAGTCAGGATTAGAATGTCTGACAGAAAAGAGTCCAGAAGGTCGAGGACGGAAAGAATGGGAACAAAAATAAATTGATATGGAAATGCAGGAACAATGAAGTCTAAGATCATTGACTGATATTTACAAAAGAAGCAGACAAGTTTGAGACAATTGATTGACAGTATTCACTGTATGATTCTTAGATTTTACTAAGATGTTCTGTAATGTCGTATTCGAACACATTCGACTGTTCCCATTTGTGATCTCGTTCAATCCAGTAATAATTATAATCCCGAAATACTGTTTAAATAAACGGATGGATAAATTTCGGTTCATAGTCCAAGACTGGCCATCTTAAATCTGATTAGCTCGAATTATGTTTCTTTGAATGAACTAGTAGGCATGATAATTAGTCTTCAAAGGCAATATTAACATAGTTTCAAATACACTACTATTTATGAAACTGGAATTTCAAAGATGGATATTGTTGATGAAACACTTGAAAAGTAACTTCAGCGATTTCTTATTTGTAATCGTGATATCATACAGTAATTATCTAATGGTTTTCCTATTCGAAATCCACTACTTTGCTATATAGTATGAATTTGAATCTTCATGAGATTAGCTAAGTAAATAATAGTTACCTGCTTACTGATTACTGGTTAAAAGATGCCTTATTTGAAGTCACACACACACACATTGTGAAGTAAATTACGATAGAAGTAATTCAGTAGCTCAACAATCTCATACTTCATCAGAAATAAACTCATTTTACAGGTTAGATGCTTTCAGGATATTGATTCGGTGGACAATTAATATTGTACGTAATGTGAAAACTAAAGACAGTTATTCACGTGTAAAGTTGACCTTAAACCGGTCGCGCACAGCCGGGGTCGACTTTTCTGACCACGTTCTTCCTTGTTAGAAGGTAGTATTGCTACAGATGCTGGTTGCCCGAGGGAAACACCTTACTGTTGTCACACCCCTCTACGGTCAGCAGTACGACTACACCGTCAGACTTGGAATTGCTGCTTTTAGTCTTACCGTTCTCCAATCGACCTGTCTGGGATGGTTGAACCTACAGGAACATATGTTCCAGCCAATATAGCTCGATTGGGTCACCACGATAGGCAAGCCCAACCACCACTAGAAGGTAGTAGCTACACTCTGGACACTCCTATATAGACAATTCATTTACAATAAAGCCTAAAGGCTATAAGTTCTATTCATATCACCGTTGTTGGCTAACACTACTAACTAATTCTGAACTCAAATGAAAGAACTGATCCTCTACTTCATTATATCATTGATTGCTTATCTGGAAATTTCATTACATACATGTTACCCGTATCATCCTATTAGAATTGCCCTGTATAATACGAACCATTTAACAAAAGCATTTTGTTATTACACTTAAAAGTAAACTTACTATTTTCTGTTCTTTCATTCTCATATTACGTTTGATTTTGGCTCCAAATGAAATTGTAATTAATCAGTTAATTACCTAGCTGTGTCAACTTTATTTCAGGTTGTGTTCATTTAATTTTAATTATTCCCTAAACTGCGTGGCTACCATGTTGTTGCCTAAATTAATCGAATTAAACTATTGTAGAACAGTAAAATAATCCTGTCAGATTCTTACTTTGTATGATATAATAGAAGATTTTTCCTTTAAGCGGTTGGGTTTTTCGATCTTTAACTAACAGAATTACGTTCATAGGTTGTCAGGGGTATATAACTTAATATTACTTAATATTTTTGTAAGCAATGATGAATGGTGGTTAGCAGTGGAATCTAGTTTGACGTGCGTTTCGTCCTATTTGGGAATCATCAACTGGATATATCTGCATTTCAGAGTTGATGTTCATTCCAAGAATTGAATCCAGTGCTTTTTGCTTCTAACAATTGGCTATAAGAACCCAGTAGCTAATTGAATAACGCAGTGGCGTTTCAAGCGAACAGCACTGGGTTCGAGCCGCAGGGTCCCAAATAGAACGAAACGCTTGTTCTGGATTCCACTGCTAACCACTATTCATCTTTGATTAAAAACCTTGTGACTTAAGCCAATATTGGGGCGACCCGCACAGGATGAACATATTCCAATAAGAGATGTGTCTTTCCATTGTTATTTAGGACTGAAATTGATCAAAGTGAAGCAACACCAAGTGAATAGATCAGTTTAGATATGACAAGATTTATTATGCAACTAATCATCTGTTGCTTAATTACTTCATTACTTCATTATGATATGGTTATATATAGACTTTTGTTTTACCTTATTATTATTCTAATAGTTTTTTGTTCAAGAGAATAGTCCAATCAATACATTGATTAATAAAGTAATTGCAACTGATGCAGACAGTGAAAAGAATGCTGAAATCAAATATCAACTTAGTCAAGATGGTGAAGAATACTTTACTATTCATCAATTAGATGGAACTATTTATACAAAAATAATATTCGATAGAGAATTAAAACAAAAGTATGTTATATTTCCAGTAATTATATTTATTTAAGCTATTGAAGAAGCGTTTTTGCGTGAGATGATAATATATGAACGATCTTTATGAGACTCTAAAATGACCTTGGGAATATCTATCTACTTAATTAGTTACCTCCGATGGAGCATAGGCCGCCGAACAGTATTCTCAAACACACTCTGTCTTCCATTTCTCGGCGTAATGTGCTCTTTGTTCTTCCACCTTTCATTTGACCTTGAGGATTCCGTGTCAGGGCTTGCCTTGTGGAACAGTCGGGTGCTTTCCTCAATATGTGTCTTATCTACTTCCAACACTTCTTCCTGATTTCTTCCTCCTCTGCAATCTGATTTGTTCATTCCCATAGTAGGTTGTTGCTGATAGTGTCTGTCCAACGGATCCGAGGTATTTTGTGTAAACAACCGTCAATAAACAATGTTATCTTCTGTATGATGGTTTTCGTAGTTCTCCAAGTTTCCGCCTCATGCAATAGAACTGTCTTGACATTTATATTGAAAATCCTGACTTTGGTGTTGACTGACAAATAGTTGTTTTGATTCCTAGATGGTCTTCAATTGTAAATATGCTGCTACTGATTTACTGATCCACTCCTCTACATCTGCATCAGATCCATCGTGTTCGTCAATGATGCTGTCCAGATATGTAAATGTCTTTTACATCTTCCAATATTTCTCCATCAAATGTGATTCGATTGGTGCATTCTGTGTTGTATCGGAGAATCTTGCTATTCATCCACCTACTAATTAGAATTAAATGAGGTTTATAAACCAGTGTGAGGAATCAGAATTATGATTTACAGTTGTTGGTTAAGGTCAAGAATTAGATTTATGGTTTTCGTCACAAATAGACATCAACTAAAATGCCCAAGACCTATTTAGCTAAATGAATGAGTGAATTACGCGCCATAATCCAAGACTTATTTTCTTGAATCTCATTGGTTTATCCATAAATTATAGTCTCGCCATTCGAATTTACTTATTCTGATAAAAACATGCACAGTAATTATTGCAATGAGTTGTATCAATCATTATACTGACTAAATTGAATCTATCTATTACTTAGATACAGAGTATCAGGGAATTGATACAATTGATTCTCATTTATATTACATACCCATAGATATCTAACGATAAGTGATTGCATTACGCTACGTTTAACTAAAGAATTCACACTTGAATCGATAAATCAACAAAATTTCTACAAAACATCAGTTTTTCATTTGTTCTTGAAGCTGGATGTCTATTGATCAACAATACTGTTGAAAATCTTTCCTGGTACTGTCAGTAAAGTGATGCCTCCGTAGTTTTCACATTTGCTCAGATCTGATTTCTTTAGTATCCTGATGGGTTATCCTTCTTTCCAGTTCGTTGGTAATTGTTCTTCCTCCCAAATATTCCTGAATAAAATGTAACGCATGCTTACAGTTACTTATATGTTTGACTTCAGAGCTTCAACTGGTATATTGTGAGGTTCTGTTGATTTCCCACTCTTGATTTGTCTGATGGACATTCTGAGTTCTTTGATCGTTAGTGGAATGACATCTATAGGACAGTCTGTGTGTGGTGCTTCGATGTGCAGAGGGTTCAGTTGGAGTGGTCTATTAAAGAGTTCTTCATGGTGTTCTTCCCCCCTCTGTTCCGAAAGTAGTGAATACAAGACATATATTGTACAGTGAAAACCGTATGTACAACTTAAGCCAACATCTTTCAAAATGCATAAATCAACTCCTATCCACTAAAAAGATATTCTGTCTTTTGAAATGTATTTATTGTGTAACTTCATATCAAATATTCATATTTGTGAATCATTATTACTCAATCAACTACATAAACAATACTATTCACTATCAATTTCCAATCCATTAGTTGGCCCTTCCAGTCAAACAAGTTGGTGAAACCTAGTAGGCCCTTCTGGAGAGAAACGGGCCACATCGAAGCACGGCACAACTACCGGGACTAGAACAGCTGGTTTTGCATCTGGTTTGAGTTTGCCTCATAAGGAGCACACTTTTGTGAATTTTTTGTCGTTTTTCAATCCAAGAGTAATTGCACTGTGATTCTTTGCAGATTTCGCAATCGGTTTGAGTGTATCGATCGAGCGGATGAATAGCTCGATCTCTACCACCCAGGTTACCGCTCACATTAGTTCATGGGTCATCCGTCCCACTATCCAAAAGGCAATACACGGGTTTTGCCTCCCTCCAATCCATTAAAAAATACATTTAATGATAGTTAACAATATAAATCAAAGCTTATTATGGATCTCAATTAAAATAAAGGTAGTCTGCTTGAATATCTGGGATACCTGTTCCTGACATTTAGATATTTCAACAAGTTATGCCTTTTGTCTATTTCAACTGATCATGAATTGCACAAACTATTCAGGTGTGTTTGTGCAAAGTTTTTAATCTTTCTCTGTACAAGTTAGGAAAGAGCACAATCAGCGACATCGTGGTCGCTGCCAATATGCATTGAAGAGAATCAATATTATTTAGATGTCGATTCCTGAATGAATAACATCTAACTGACGATCATTCAAAATCTTATCGTTAGGATTGATCAAGAAATTTAGAAATGGAAACTTGTTGAAATACTTTGTGCTAAGAATTCTATATTATACTGAATACTTTCAATATGTATATGTATATATATAATTGATGAGCCACAAGATGGACGTTAGGTACTTTGTAGTTTTTATCACTAATAATTTATAATCTAATTGGTAACGAACTTTTAATTACTAACACTAAAGACCACTACTCGATCTTAGACTGACATTGATAACCTGGAAGTATTGGATGGCCGATTCGTCTCAGTATGAGACTCCTCAACAGTGTGTATCCACGGTCCTGCGCATGGGATTTGAAACCAGGACTTCTGGTCTCATGCGTGAACGTCCAAACTCTAGATCACTGTGCTGGCATCCAACAATGTTCATGTTTAGTGCTTCCCGGTTTTCGATGATGGTCTAACATCGATCGGTTCATGATCTCAATTTGAAAATACTCAACAATCACCACAACTCTATACTGATAATTATCATGTGCTCATTAGTGACTAGCTTGAAGATGGATTTCCTGGAGTTCTAGTAAGAAGCCATGACCAGTGGAGTTCAACCGTGTTTGATGTGAGACAATTAATCAATGAAGACAATGAAGGACGATCGCGAAATGTTGTGGAAAACCAATAATTGATTCATTTGCCATTTGCTCCCTTAGGATCCTGAAGTTCATTTGCACCGTTGGTTTAGAATCAGGGTTTTCTAACTCCCCACTGTGGAACCTTCAGATCCACTAACACGGTTAAAGTGCCGATCATTCGCTTCTTGTTATCAGCAAGGTAATATTCGCAATCCTGAGGGAACTAATTCTTTTCATGAAATTCATATTGTCATAATCGAATTATCAAACGATTTTCACTGATATCTTCTTTCATTTATTTCTTTTGTTAAGTTATCGATTTCAAGTCTATGCCAATGATAATGGTCAACCGATTGCATTAACAGCAACCACTACAATTGAAGTGACTATTGTTGATGTTAATGATAATACACCAATGTTTGTCGGTTTAGATCGAGATAATTGTTATCATTTCCGTATAGCAGAAAATCAACCACCGAATACATATGTTGGTATGTTAAAAAGATTTGATATATATATGTTAATCTGGTTAGTGTTTTGTTTTAGCAAGTTAATTTTCTACGGGATGGTGTCGCTAACCCCATGCCTAACCCTCCTCCTTTATCCGAACTTGAAACCGATAGTAGCCCCAGAGTGGCTCCAAGATGAGTTCATCTGTAATAGCTATTTGAAAGAGCTTTTGTGATTAGTTGTTGTTAAACACTTTGTTTATACAAGATTTCCTTTTGATTGTACCATAATGTAAACTGATAATGCAAAATGCAGTTACAATATATCACAAATTAGGTTCGATTTCATGTTGAAATGTTGAGTCGCCATCACTTAAGAGCTATTCATTGACATGGAAATTTTGTATCCAGCACTCTATTATTGATATTGGTTCTTTACTCAATACAATTTACATTTCTTGTTATTCACCATTCTCATTCTGAATAGGTAAATATCTAGAACCAATCTATTTGATATACCGACCTGAGTTTTATCATTGTATTATCAGACATCAGTAGGGTATGCTTTGTAAACTTTAAAAAAAACGTTAATTGCGTGTGGTATGTAGATGTAAACCAAAATATCTTAGCTACGATCTAGTTGCCAATAAATGAATGTTGTACATATCTGTGTTGCTATCAGATGGGGGTTTTGTGGAGATTTTAGTCATTTTATAGTTGATATCATGAGTCAATTAGAGCTAGACCACCATGGAAAACCTGTAAACACTGGATGGGCGTTTCGTCGTACTACGGGACTCCTCAGCAGTACACATCCACGATCTGACCCCGTGAGATTCAATTATTTTCTTTTTAAAAAAAATTCATCTCATTCTTGGTTCAATGGAAAACTTGATTCATTTTTCTGATTGGTTTCATACACTCATTTATTCATCTTCAACTGTATACTCTTCTAATGAATTTGAGTTTGTTTACTTCACTGAATGTCATTGCAAAAAATATATATCATACATAGGTTAACGCTTTCAATGATTACTTACTTACTTACTTACTTACTTACTTACTTACTTACTTACTTACTTACTTACTTACTTACTTACTTACTTACTTACTTACTTACTTACTTACTTACTTACTTACTTACTTACTTACTTACTTACTTACTTACTTACTTACTTACTTACTTACTTACTTACTTACTTACTTACTTACTTACTTACTTACTTACTTACTTACTTACTTACTTACTTACTTACTTACTTACTTACTTACTTACTTACTTACTTACTTACTTACTTACTTACTTACTTACTTACTTACTTACTTACTTACTTACTTACTTACTTACTTACTTACTTACTTACTTACTTACTTACTTACTTACTTACTTACTTACTTACTTACTTACTTACTTACTTACTTACTTACTTACTTACTTACTTACTTACTTACTTACTTACTTACTTACTTACTTACTTACTTACTTACTTACTTACTTACTTACTTACTTACTTACTTACTTACTTACTTACTTACTTACTTACTTACTTACTTACTTACTTACTTACTTACTTACTTACTTACTTACTTACTTACTTACTTACTTACTTACTTACTTACTTACTTACTTACTTACTTACTTACTTACTTACTTACTTACTTACTTACTTACTTACTTACTTACTTACTTACTTACTTACTTACTTACTTACTTACTTACTTACTTACTTACTTACTTACTTACTTACTTACTTACTTACTTACTTACTTACTTACTTACTTACTTACTTACTTACTTACTTACTTACTTACTTACTTACTTACTTACTTACTTACTTACTTACTTACTTACTTACTTACTTACTTACTTACTTACTTACTTACTTACTTACTTACTTACTTACTTACTTACTTACTTACTTACTTACTTACTTACTTACTTACTTACTTACTTACTTACTTACTTACTTACTTACTTACTTACTTACTTACTTACTTACTTACTTACTTACTTACTTACTTACTTACTTACTTACTTACTTACTTACTTACTTACTTACTTACTTACTTACTTACTTACTTACTTACTTACTTACTTACTTACTTACTTACTTACTTACTTACTTACTTACTTACTTACTTACTTACTTACTTACTTACTTACTTACTTACTTACTTACTTACTTACTTACTTACTTACTTACTTACTTACTTACTTACTTACTTACTTACTTACTTACTTACTTACTTACTTACTTACTTACTTACTTACTTACTTACTTACTTACTTACTTACTTACTTACTTACTTACTTACTTACTTACTTACTTACTTACTCACGTCTGTTACCTCTCATGGAGGAACATAGGCCACTTATCACCATTCTCCATCCAACTCTATCTTGGACAATTCTTTTCCAGTTGTTTCCAATCGCTATTCATTTAAATTTACCAACAAATTGTTTCTAAGTTTTCCGAATCAGTTCTATTTTATTACTTTTACTTAACTATAAGATTCTGATTCATTTTAAATGACATAGAGTGTTATAGTTTATGACAAGTGATATCACAAAATGTTACAATTTTAAATTCACTTGATGTTGTTGTATTACTTGTAACTTTCCATTGTTATTCAGGACTGAAATTGATCAGTCTCTTGTTGATATATGTGCATACTGTGTCCATTTGTTTCCACATCAATCACTCTCTGTTCTTGTTCTTTTTTCTTCGATTTTCTTAACCTTCTTCCACCAAACATTTCACTTTTGATTGATGTTACATACTACTTATATCTGTCAATATCAATAGCACACACCACATCATCTACTACAAATCATTGAAACTAATACTGTCATCCAGATCCATTATTTATTTTTACAAACCTAATACTAAACTCATCTGTAAAAAAACAAACCCAGGTAAAAAATAATGACGAAACTCACTTATCTAAATAAAAAGTAAACCTTTAACATGATTTTTAATGAACATACATAAAACTGTAGCGAGGCAATCTGCACAGGATGTATATAAGCCAATAAGAGACTGATCGGTTCAAACACATAAACATTGGTACGAGGAGGCACCAAATAGATATGCACCTTTTAAATCATTTGATTTGTGTGGGGGTTGGAATACTGCCCGGATGCCCAAAACGAAGCAGGTGGTTTCCTTAGGGGGCCATACCCGGATCCTTTGACTTATATGTCTAATCCACAAGGCAGTAAAGCAACGTCAGGAAATGTAGTCCCATGGTAGCCGGTGACCAACGATTGGTTCATACGCCATTTGTTCTTTTAGGATATTGAAGCCTATGTGTACCCTTAGTTTTTAATCAGAGTATTTCAATTACCTTAGGTGGACTCTTCGTGTCCACCAACCCGGCTAGATGCTGGATATTCGCATTTTGTCCCCTCAATTTCATAAACAACACTTTCGCCGCGAGAAGGCAATGAGTAGGACTTCCCTGGTAGCGGTTGTATGCAGATTTTACTAAGCCATTTTGTAATTTTGTATTCAAATACATTCGATTGTTCCCACTCGTGTTCTCGTTCACTACAATATTAGTGAAGAACTATTGTGAAATGGTGCAAAGTATTTTAGTGAGTTATCTTCAAAATAAGGTTTATGAATCAACTCAATATGCCACATTTCATATTCACACACTGTGGATAAAAACATTCGCACGCAATCTAACTAAACTTTCCAGTCAGAGATCGTACCCAAGACGTTCAGATTTATTTATATAGCTCAAATTAATAATCAGTGACTTTATGTTCAGAATATATATCTCGCGAGACGTGATCGTGGATGTGCACTACTGTGAAGTCCCATACTAGGACGAAACGACCGTCCAGTGCTTCCAGGTTTTCCATGGTGGTCTAGCTTCAAATATTAAATTACTATAATATCCAAAAAAACCCTCTCTGATCAGAATACATATGTTTCTTCGGCAGCCTTTTTTAAAAAATATTATAAGTCTAGGAAAACTATAGTTAAACATTCATAGCTCACGTTCAAAGCCTTGAAGAATGAAAACACTTACGTTAATACCGCTAATTCTAAATCACCCCGCGTTTCTCAATCAAAGACTTCATTTAGGATATATATATCGGAACGGGTTTTGTGGATATTATAGTAAATTTAATAGCTGAATTCATGAATCATTTGAAGCTAGACCACCACCATAGAAAACCCCAAGGCACTGGATGGACGTTTCATCCTAGTATGGGACTCCACAGCAGTACACATTCACAATCCCACCTCGAGAGATTCAAACCTGGAACTTATCAGTCTCGCTCACAAACGCTTAACCTGTAGACCACTGAATTGGTATCTAACTTTAACTAATCCATTTTTATACTATTTAAAACAAAAGAGATAGCAATTTATTGAACTGATTACATAACTAAGTATAATTACCTGGTTGGGGACCACGAGATGATAGCAACCGATGGTTAGAGACCCTGAATGACATGGCTCAAAATCGTTTGCAATGGCGTAGGTGCATCCATTCTTTGTGTTCTCCCAAATTCTAATCTTCTGAATTCTTCATGTCCCTTTTTTCCTCTGGATTATACTCTTTAAGTAACATCTCCAAACCCTTATCTTCCCGATTACTGCTTATACTCTTGCTACCTCTACCACTACGGGATTTGAATCGACCACTGCATCTCTGTGCTAATGCGGTGTGGCAACTCGAACTGATGTACATACGTACGAAGTTCTACGTTGTTACTGACTGACTGACTGAATTACATCTCACTATTATTGTAATTTATTATTATGTAATACTATCTAAACTAAACTTCCTTCATTTTTTGATTCAAAATCACTTGTAAGTATATAATATCTATCACTGAGTATACATTTTTGGCTCCATATCATAATAGGAGACAATAGTTACAACCAAACTAATATAAATTATACATTTCAACCACCAATCTCTTATTAACTAATGAAATTACAATAAATAATAGTAGAAAAAAAGAAAAGAAAAGAAAAGAGAAAAAGAAAAAAAGAAAGAATCAGTTATTTTTTCCTGTA